GGAGAAGGATGTCATGCTTGGTAGGGTGGAGGGTCAACGAAAGAGGGGGAGGCCTTCAACGAGATGGATTGACATGGTGGCTGCGATGATGGACTCAAGCATAGCAGGGATTGTGGGGCTGGCATGGGATCGGGCAGTGTTTCGTTCTGCTGTGCATGGGGTCGCTATGAGTAGGAAACGACTCAAAGGACCTAACAACAACAATACTTGTGGCATTACATAGGCAGATCTTTTAGAAAAAAAAGTCATAAAGTTATTTTGTAGTATCAAAACTTTCACTAACTCAAAGTGCTTCATGTTTTACTTGAGGTGCTTTATATGGCTAGAAAATTATTTTTTAAAGCCAAATTTTAATTTCTATCTGTTTTTTAGATGAGGTTTTATACTGTCTAATAAGTAAAACAAAGAATTGTCAAGATAGTTTGCATATGTTGAAAATGAAAGCTTCTATTTTGTTGCGTGTTTTCACATACTATTGTGGCAAGAAGTTTAATTGTTTTCTTCATTGAAATTTATCTGTTTTTTAAGTATTTCTGTTGAATATATGAAAATAAATGTTTTATTTACTTACTTAAAGATACAGTGAAGAGATTCAGCATTTATTCTTTGAAAGCATAACATAACTATAGAATGGGGTTTCTTTGTCTACATACAAATGCGAATTAGCTGACATTTGCAAACAAATGTGAATTTTAGGAATGGAAGTACGTGACAGCATCTTATTGGACAAAAGTGAAACATCAAAGAAAAGTGGGGATAAACCTGTAGAAAAGAAGCAAAATAAGCAATTCTTTGCTCCTGGAGAAGGAACAGAAGCATATAAATTCTTTGAGAAGGTTGTGAATGCAACTCAGACATGGTTCAGTCTTTTTGGGTGGCCTGAAGCACCTCACTCTATTTCTATTCCTGAAACGTTAAGAAGGTAATGGTTACATGTTTCTCCAAATCCTTTGCTTTTTTTAAAATATAACAAAATCTATTAGTTACGATGATTTCTAACAAAAATGCAGTATTTCATAATTTATTCTAAACTAATAATTTATGAAGAAATTGTTAAGAAGAGCATAAAGATGCAAATATAAATTCTTCAGTTTACCTGTAATTTTTAATTCCTTCTAAACATCTAATGATTTTAGGCAAGCACTGAATAGTTTTGCACCTCATTGTCATCATTTGGAAAGTGAGATGGGATAAAATATAGAAACATTTGGCAACTGCACTTCTACATGAAAAAATAGCAGTCCTTGATCTAGAGTGCAGCCAAGTACACAAGTCTTAGTTAGCAGGGAGGGCTCACTTTTCTTTGCCACTAACTCCTCTTTACCAGTACATTTATCTCACTTCGTTCTTGTGCAATTACATTGGTTAAATCAAAACACATAATGCTATTGTTAATTTAAACAGGAATTTTTGCCCTTCCCTAGTTCAGCCGCTACACAGAGGAAAAGGTTTAGTAATCTGCTCTCATAAAGAGTAGAATCTAGGAAACCCACTCTGTGATGTTGGGTCAACATGAGTCAGAGTTGACTCAACAGCACACAACAATACCAGTTACAGTCTTGCAGGTGTGGTGGATTATCCGGGCTTCTCTACCTCCTTTCTGAACCTGGGGGTATAATTTGGTGGCATATAGGGGAGGGTACTGATCTCTGAGCTGGAAAGACTATTTAAAATTTTTACATCCGTATTCAAGTATGAATTAGGTTAAACTAGGTCTATAGTTTTTCTATACATTATTTTTTTCAGGTTTTTTTTTTTTTTAATAATTAGTAGGACAATGTTAGTGTTGTAAATAAATTAGTTAATATTTATCTTTGTCTATGTTGTGGGAAAATTAATTCAGAAGAAACCCTAAAAATTTACAGGCTTGATCATAAAATTATCTGTGTCCAGGAAATTTTTAGGAAAGTTTTTCTCTTACAACCTCTCAGTTTTCTGGTTTGGTGTTTGTTCTGAAAATTTTACCTATTTTAAATAGATTTTAATAATTTATTTTAATTTAAAATGATTGCTTATTTAAAATTATTATTATTACTATTAAAGTCATTATTAGACAGCTGTGAATGGGATAGGGAGTACCGTCTATGCAGTTAAGGTCTTCTTCTCATTTACAATTGTGTTTATATTTTTTCTTGATTATATAAATTAGCTATTTATTTTCATGTCTCATATACAGAATTATTTATGTGATTAATTCATCCATTTCTATGTATTTTAAATCCCCTCATAAGCATGCAAAAGCTGAACAATCGATAAGGTAGATTGAAGTAGAATTAATGTCTTTGAATTATGCTGTTGGCCAAGAATATTGAATATACCACGGACAGCAAGATGAACAACAAATGTGTCTTAGAAGATTTACAGATAGAATATGTCTTAGAAGCAAGATTGGCAAGGTTCCATCATCACATGTATCATGGACATGTTATCAGGAAGGACTACTTCCTGTAGGAAGACAGAATGTTTAGTAAAGTAAAGGGTTGGCGAAAAGGAGGAAGTCCCTCTATGAGATGGACTGACACAGTGGCTTCAACAGTGGCCTCAAACGTAGTAATTATTGTGAGGATGATGCAGGATGTAAGGTTATCATGAATTGGAACTGATTTGATGGCACCTAACTATAATAACAACTTTAATTCAGTTAATTTTGCTTAATACATTTTGAAGCTGTTACCAGGTGAAACAAATATACAGTGGTAACACCATCCTGGTGAATTGAACCTTTCATGCTTAAGAAATTTCTTTCTTTTTACTTATTATTGCTTTGTGCCTTACAGTCTACCTTGTCTTATATTAATCTAAGTATACTACTTTTATTATTTGCACAGCATATCATTCCACCATGTGCATAAATCTTCTGTTTCCTATGTTTTTAGTTGTGTCTTAACCCTATCTTTAGTTTATATTTCATTGTCATTCAACTTTTGTCTTTTAATTAAGCTTTACTTTCATATAAATTTCAGATAATTACTTTAATTTTGAATTGTCATCTGCAATATTTTTCAGTTCTTTTATTTTTGTATTTACTCTGTGTTCCCTTTCTGTTCTTTCCTGCCTCTCTTGGACTGATTAAATGTTTATTTTCTTAGCTTGTAATATCTCTTCTAATAGCATTGAAGTTAAATTCACTTTTCCTATTTTTTAAATCATTATCTTTAAATTATAGCATAAATTCTTGACTTATTAACATCTTGTCCTAATGAATAAATATAT